ATTGCCTTACCATGGAGTAGTCCTTCTGGGTGGCAAGATTCACTTCTGGTACAACTGTTTGGCTAATGCTTATATAAAATCTATTTTCAAGTCCTCATTTTCCAGGCTTCCTATGCGAATGTGGCAGGATGCTTAGCCTCCCTGAGACTCAGCGCTGGGTCTGTAAAATACAGATAGAACCTCTTCCTCACCTGCCAGCTGCTGCAGGGGGTTGACAGCAGTGGAAGGTCCTACTGGGGGAACCACGTGCTCCTCAAGGATGGCGATTGCTTGGCTGTGGCTGCTGCAGGACGTGCCCCGAGCGCTGTGGACGAGGTCCCGCACTTCACATGTGGGCAGTATATTCATAAGGCAGATTAAACATTATCTACTTATGCTTTCTGATGTGGTGTTTGCCCTTTGCTTTGTGTTTCCTCTCATGTTTTCATCTCTTAGTATAAGACAGTGAGACTGTAGAGCTGACATGTTGACACCAAATGTACTTGTCGTGCTAAGGCTTGATGATACCAGCATTGATAAAGTGATATTCCTTTAAGGCCCTGCTTTCAGTGTCTGAGTTGAAGCAGGTGGCTTCCAGATGCCTCTTCTCATCTAAATTATTCTATGATTTTATATTGGTTGCTCAATGGGAGGATTCATGTTACCTAACCTAGATGCCTGTAATAACCAGAAAAGGGAGGTTCTCCTGGAAGGTCCTTCAGAGCATCAGCTTACTTAGGTGCTAAGAGACTTGCTTGCAGGAGCCATTTATACATAGCCGAGGAGACTACCCTGCTAACCAAGGCAATCCAAGACATCTGTTCCTAACATGGTAAATGCTATGGAGTTTTCTGTTAAGAGTCTAGATCTTTGAGGTGGAACCATTTCTTTCTTTCTGAACAGAGGCTGGTACCTTTGCTAAATGTGGTGCAGCTTTGGGTCACATGGGAGCAACCAGACCAAATTGAAAGTGGCCTGTCAGGAAAGAGTTTTATTAAAAAATAGAAAGACATATGCCTGAATTGCAAATTGTCTAATGATCAGGATAAATTTATAGCTTGCAGCTTCGAGAAGAAGGGGAGTTTTGGAGACATGCGGCTCAGAATAGGAAATATCAAAATATGATATATGAGAATTCAGGTTTCAACTCTCTATTAAATCAGAAATTTATCTGTATTGAGATAAAAGATTGAGATAAAAAATATTAAAGGTCTGCAACCAAACAGGAGAGAGACCCTTCTGGCATTTGGGAGGTCTGAATTTTCTTGGATTTTTATACCAATTACCTTGTTTTTCGTAGGTGAAATGTTTTAGAGCATGCCTTTGTTCACTTTTAGAAATGACCTTGAGGTTAAGTGGTGTGTGGCAGGGTCACGCAGGAAAATCACGGTAGAACCATGGAAAGCTCACATATTCCTAAATCTTGTGTTCTTTGTGATTGCAAGCTTTTATTGTTGTTTTTTTATTATTTTAAATGATGTTAAACTCTTTATTTTTTTATGGTATCAGTATTGTTTATCATGTACAATCTAAATATTTCATTTTCCCTTTTCCTTGAATATGCAGGTTAGAAATATTTAATTTTGTAGTCTTGCAATAATTAGAGATAGAAAATTATTCAGCCACTCAGCACATTTGCCTGGGCTATGTAAAAACTATTGTTTTCATATTGTATTTGAATAAATGATTTATAATCAATAATCTAATTCACTCAAGAAGATTACATTTCTTTAAGTTTTAATATTGATTACATTGATGTTTTGCATATGGTCAGTATTGATTATGCCTGAGCAATTGTAGATTGGTAGCATTTTTTTTCTCCCTAACTATTTTGGAAATTCTCTTCCCATAAGCAGTTTTATACTAAATAGTAATCAAGTGGTAAGCTCAATTTAGGTGATAAGCTGATGCAATAGAAATCTGAATGTGGTAGAAATGCTTTCTTAAGCAAATAAATATTTTTGAATATTTTTATTCTCTTTCTCATTTCTGTCTGTAGTAACTGCTGCCAGAATTTTCATTAGGCTCTTGGAAAAAGAGCCTTTCCTTTCATCTCACTTCTCTCATACTTTTTCATATATTACTAGCAAGGAATTAAATATATGTAGTTATACATTTCCTTTTTTATTCTTTTTATGATTATAAATATTTTATCACCATTTCATAAAACTTTCTGGTACATCTGTAAATTTATTATTTCTTCAATTGCTAATCTGGAAATATTTTAACTTTAAAGGCACATTAGACACATTTTTGTTCTAATCTGAAATCTTTCCAGGTTTCTAATATTTTTCTTGCATTTTAGTTAATGCTCTATCCCTTAGGTCTCTTTTATGTAGAAAAATGTGTTTTCAGTGTAATTTCCTGCAATAAGACAAAGAGAAAATGAAGAGAGGTTTGGGGTTGTTTTGTGTTTCCTTGATTTAAATCTTATATTTTGTACGGTTCATGATTGTATTAGTTTATTCCTTTTGCCAAACAGCCCACAAAGCTGTGAATATTTATTTAGTTCTGTTCCTAATAGTTTTTCTAATAGGGAATTATTTTGGTACAATGAAAGACATTTGTAAATGAAGCAGATAAGCCCTTTGGCAGACAAGGAGTGTTTTGTTCAACACAAGAATTCTATTGTCCACTGCTTTAGTTGTCAAGTGCCTGGGGAGCCCAGGATTTATGATGATGCTACAATGGCCCTTTCAGTGCAAAGTCTAAGAAGCTGTGAGATTCCGCTCCTCTGCTTTTCAGACTCGCAAATCTTTTTATCATGCAAGGACAATGCAGGATTCAGCTGCTTCGTAGGCCACAGCACTGCCCATTTAACACCAGGCATTGTGCAATAATTACCATAGTGACAATGGGGTGGGGTGGGTTTTTTTATTCCTTCTAACTAGCAACATTTCAAAAATTGTTCAAGTTGTCACTTTGTATAAACTGACTCTGAAGGCCCATCTTATTTTGAGGAAAAAAAAAAAAAATCTTGTTAGGGGATTTGATTTAAAGTGCCACTGTGTCAAACCTATTTGATGCATTGAAACTGTTTAATGGATTTTCTCGTAATTTTCTTGTAATTATAATTGGACTTTGAAACAGTCTTCCATAAGTACAGCACTTGTTTTTCTTCTGCCTTTTATTCCAACTTATATCTGCCAGATTATACAGTTTGTAGAACCTTATTGTTCAGGATTTATTCATCTAAAACAGAAAATAATAAAAAATGTAAAGTCCAATAAGGTAGGCAATGCCTATTGCCTCTCAAAAATTTTCAGCTAAGCTGCACCCTGCGCTGTTTGTATTAACAATATATTCATTCAGCTGTCTTGAATAATATTTTCATGAAAGTTCCTATCTGGAGGAGTTTCTCTCTACTTGCCTGTATTAATATGAAGATTTATTTGCTTAAAATAATGATTGGTGCTATTTAAAATATTGATTTATAACCTCTGATTGCTGTATAAATACTGTATAACTGGAAAATGGAGCCCTTATTTGACAATTAATTATTAGGAATGTGGCCACATCACTGGCTGCTGCTCAGGTCCATGTATTAAAATAAAAGCTTAAGTACTGTAGCAGATCAGTTTGAGCACTGGTAGTATCTGCAACCAGCTGTATTGGCAGCTCTCAAATTCAAACACAGATCTTGAGAAAGATCAGACCATGGGGATATGTAAGAGCATATTTAGAGAAATATTAACCTAAGGAGCTTCAAATGTCTTGAACAAAAAGGAACTTGAGATGCAAATTTATCTGCGAACATTTTGACGTCATTTGAACTAATTATCAAAATGAGAAAGTTTATTCAGTTTTTATCATTCTTACTCATTCAAATGAGTTGTGAATTAATTCAAAAAGATCCTCTATGAAAAGAACAGAATTTGCTTGCAAATTAGCATATTTTAAAATGCCATGTGTGCTTCATTGTAAATTGTATAAATATCCTGTATGTACAGCATATTTAATAAAGCAACTACTTTGTATTAGCTATTCTCTTACCACATAAAACACCCTGTATTTCATAGAGCTTACTTTAGCAAAGCTTGCTTTCCAGGAATGTGTTCCTATTGAACGTACATCACCCTTTTTTTTTTTGTTTTGTTTTAATAAATCTACTAGTATATATACAGTTAGCATTGGCAGTAGAATCCAGATGTGTTTGTGTGCTCTTTTGATGTTAGTGTGAAGTAGGTCTTTACATAATATTGCGTGTAAAATTCAGGCAATGGCTATTTAGTTCTCTTGAACACTTTTACCAGCACCTTTCAAATTTGCAATGTGCTGCTGAACAAATTTTTACTGGAAAATTTGATTGCTCTAATGGCAGTGTAAAGGGAGCATAAAATGAAGGATTGATAAAACTGATGCAACTTTAACAGTAAAGTACTGAAGAAAAAAAGAAACACTGATTTGGATATAGGTAAATCTATTTTAAATAGTATCAGCCCGAATTACAGAGGCTATTTATGAAACAACTATAAATGATTTTCTTAGAGGCACTTCTTGCCTCATTTCTTTCCTTTAAATGTCTTATCCTAGAA